TAACCCCCACAGCACCTCCCAGTAACCCCCAGCACCCTCCAGTAACAACCCTGGCAGTCCCAGTAACCACCAGTAACCCCCTAGGAACCCCCCCGGCTCCCCCCACCACAAACCTCTCAACAACTCCCCAGTAACGCCCAGAGCTCCCAGTAACTCTCCCAACGCCTCCAGTAACTCCCGCTGCCTTCCAGTAACAACCCCAGCACTCCCAGTAACTGCCAGTAACCACCAGTAACTCCCCCGGGAACACCCCCTCAGCTTACCCCTCCCAACAACTCCCCAGTAACACCCAGCACTCCCAGTAATCCTGCCAATCCCCTCCAATAAAACCCAGTGCTTCCAGTAACAACCCCGGCAGCCCCAGTAGCCTCCCAGTAACTACCCCCCCCAGCACCCCAGTAGTCCCAGTAGTCCCCACAGCACCTCCCAGCAGTCCCCAGTCCCTCCCAGTAACCCCCAGTGTCCTCCAATATCCCCCAGGCCCTCCCAGTAACACCCAACGCCTCCCAATAACCCCCTCCCACCCCCAAGTCCCCCTCCCAGTGCTCCCAGTCCTCCCAGTACCGTTGAAGGGGTTGTTATTGGTGCGGATCCGTTCAGCCACGGCCGCCTCCAGCTCCCGTTTTTTCACGCACTGAATCCCTAAATTCTGGAAACTGGCCCCAAAATGATGGGGGCGGGGGGGGTGTCAGTCTGGGTCCCTCCCATAAATTTGGGGGCACTGAGATATCTGGGGGGGGCACCCAAAATATTTGGGGGCACCCAGATATGCGGGGGGGCACCCAAAATATTTGGGGGCACCCAGGCACCCCAGGAGGGGGATCCCATAAATTTGGGGGCACCCAGATATCTGGGGGGGGCACCCAAAATATTTGGGGGCACCCAGGCATCCTGGGGGGGTGCCCTATATATTTGGGGGCACCCAGGCATCTCGGGGGGGGCACCCTGGCACCCTGTGGGGAGCACCCCATAAATCTGGGGGCACCCAGATATCTGGGGGGGGCACCCAAAATATTTGGGGGCACTCAGGCATCCTGGGGGGGCACCCAGGCACCCCAGGAGGGGGATCCCATAAATTTGGGGGCACCCAGATATCTGGGGGGGGCACCCAAAATATTTGGGGGCACCCAGGTATCCTGGGGGGGGCACCCCATAAATATTTGGGGGCACCCAGGCATCTCGGGGGGGGCACCCCATAAATTTGGGGGCACCCAGATATCTGGGGGGGGGCACCCAGGCACAGTGGGGGGTGGCACCCCATATATTTGGGGGCACCCATGTATCTGGGGGGGCACCCCATATATTTGGGGGCACCCATGTATCTGGGGGGGTCACCCCAAATATTTGGGGGGGTCCCAGCCCACCTGTGGACGTTGCGCTCGGGGGGCAGCTCGGCCTCGTAGTAGCCGTCGCGGCAATCCTTGCCCACCAGTTCGTGGGGGTGGGGGCGGTGGGGGGGCTCCTTCGTCACCAGCGACACCCGCACCCGCCCGGGACCTCGGTAGTTGTTCACCTGGAAAAGGGAGAAAGCATACTGGTTTATACTGGTTTATACTGGTTTACACTGGGAGAGTCAGGTAGAGGGCAGAAGGGGTCTTGGTGAGGTGGGTGTTGCGATCCTCGGAGGTGGGGGGCCCTGGAGGAGTTGAGGGGGGTTTCCAGGTGAGTAGCAGTACGTATTGTCTTATACTGGTTTATACTGGGGTATACTGGGGTATAGCAAGAGCCTTAAAAGGAGGTGGGATCTTGGTGAGGTGGGTGCTGCGATCCCTGGGGATGGGCGCACTGGGGGGGATCCCTAGAGGGGTTGAGGGAGGTTGCCAGGTGGGTACCAGTGCATATTGTCTTATACTGGTTTATACTGGTTTGTACTGGGGTATACTGGGGTATACTGAGAGACTCACACAGATGGTAGGGTGGGTCTTGGTGGTGTCGGTGCTGTGCTCCCCGGGGATAGGGACACCGGGGGGACCCTGGTAGGAGGGGTTGGGGGCGTTGGGGGTTCCTAGGCACTTACTGGTTTATACTGGTTTATGCTGGGAGACTCAAATGGATAGGAAAGGGGGTCTTGGTGAGGTGGGTGCTGTGATCCCTGGAGATGGGCGCACTGGGGGGTGTCCCTGGAGGGGCTAAGGGGGGTTCCCAGGTGCATCCCAGTCCACATTGCCTTATACTGGCTTATACTGGTTTATACTGGGAGACTCACGCGGATGGTGGGGTGGGTCTTGGTGGTGTCGGTGCTGTGCTCCCCGGGGATGCTGCCGGCCGAACGCCCCTCGCACTTGTAACGGAAACGCATCCCCCGCGGCTTCGGCTGCTCCAGGATCTCCACGAAGGGAGCGGCCCCCCCCGCCTCTGCC